ATATAGGACTAATCTAGCAGGCACGCAAAGTTAATCCTAGTAAAGAAGGAGTCTATTTTCTATCTAATAGTGCTTAGGCAACTCTAATCTTTCTATTAGGAATAAGGACCTATTTTCTTAGAGAAGAGTTTTAATAAGTTCTAGGGATCTAAGAGTTATAGGGTTCTAAACTGCTATAATTAAAGCAAGGATTAGTAAGGAACGCTTGGCTAGGTAGTCTTGCGCTAAGTTAGAGTTAATTTAGGGGTGTAACCTGTCTAGGGAGATTATTACTTATAAGCAATTATCCCTTTGCGTAGTCTTAAGGTTAACTATATCCTGTTCCCTTCTACTTAGGATATCCGCTTAGGCATTGTAAGATCTAGGAGTATACTTAATTTAGAAGTTAAAGGGACTTATAACCTCTAGCTATCTAGCTTACCTAGCACTAAGGACTTTAGTAGACATAAAGTACTCTAGTGCTCTATAGTCTGTGTATACTCTAATAAGGTGCTAAGTACTTATTAGGTTAGCACGCCATTTCTTAAAGGCGTAGATTATTGCAAACAATTCTTTATTATAGATTTCCTAATTAAGTTTAGAACTAGTAAGGGTCTAACTAAAGAAGGATATAGGGTACTATTTCCTATTAGGATGCTCCTATAAGAGGATAGCTGCAATAACTCTATTAGAGGCGTCTGTCTCTAGTTTTAGAGGGTACTTAGGATAGAAGTGAGCTAAGCTTAGGATTGCTAGCAGGGTATTCCTAAGCTAGTTAAAGGCTTGTTAGCATTCCAAAGTCTATACAAATAGGGTAGCAGGACTCTAGAGGGCGGTTAAGGGCTTAGCTATCTTAGAGAAGTTTTCTACAAATTGCTAGTAGAATCTAGTAAATCCTAGGAAGGACTTTACTCTAGTTATTATCTTAGGAGCGGACTAGTTTTAGAGTACTTTAACTTTGTTAGGGTCCACCTCTAAGCCTTTGTTAGTTAGGATATAGCTAAGGTAACAGGTACAGGTTATATAGAATTCGCTTTTCTTAATATTAGCCTATAATCTAGCAGAATAAAGACGCTTAAGGACTTTTTTAATATAGTCCTTATAAGTAGCAAGGTTTTTAGAGTAGATTAGGATATTATCTAGATAGGCGATGTAGAAGTTATCTAAATAATCTATTAGTATATTATTTATATACCGCTAATAGGTTATAGGTCTATTACACAGCCTAAATAGTAGGACTTTATATTTATAGGCACTATACCTAGTGCGGAAAGTAGTATACTCCTCTAAGTTAGGGTCTATTTAGATCTTATTAAAGGTAGCACAAATATCTACGCTTAGTAAAGATTTTTACTTTAGCTAGCTAGGACAATAGATTATCTATATAGGGTATTAGATACGCGTCTTTTCGCGTTAAGCTATTAAGCTTACGGTAATCCACACAGATCCTAAGGCCTCTATTTAGCTTCTTAACACATAGGATAGGAGAGGCGAATAGGCTCTAACTAGTCTTAATAAAACCTTTCTATAGGTGCTCTTGTATATATTCCTTAGTAGCCTAGAGTTCCTTAGTATTTTAATAATAGAGGGGACTCTAGTAGTTTAGAAGGGGTTCCTCTAGGACTATCTTATAGTTATAAGGCTAGTAGATTAGAAGTTTGTTAGCCTTAGCCTTGTTAAAGATGTCCTAATAGGAGTTATAGTTAGATAGGAGCTTCTAATCTAACAAGCTATATTTAAGAGTATCCTGTTTAGATAGGGTTTAGATCCTACGCTTAATCTTATATAGGCTAGTAGTAAAGAATTTATTAGAAGATTTTTTTATATTAAAATAGAAAGCATTAGTAGAAATAGTAGCAATTTAAAATTTTGCGGGTAGGGTAACAGTTAGCGATTAGACTAGGGTAGGTGGCGTAATAGGTTTAGTAGCAGCCCTATAAGTGGCTGGAATTTTAAGTACACTATGTATCCTATTAATTAAACTAGGACTATTTTAGTTCTAGTTCTCCTCTTAATCCTAAAGGGCGTCTCTTTACAAGATATTATAGGTAACTAGAGTAGATAGCACTTACTAGTGGAGTCGTACTAGAATTAGAGGAGCGGGGTTGTAGGTTAGAGGATATTTCTCTAGCTAGATTAGTTAAGATTTATCTATATTAATTAGGATTTAGAACTATTTTAGCTAGTGTTGTCTAATAATACAATCCTAAGAACCTAAGTCTACTATTATAAAGGGGTAGTTATAAACCTTTTAGCCACTAACTATTATGTAAAGCTAAATGTAGTAAGCAACTAGGGAGGTAATCTAATCCTAGAACCCTTTAATAGTAAGCTTGTATAGTAGCTTTTAGATAGGTACCCTAAGCGTAGAAGAGATATTATAAGTAATTTTTAAATTAAGAAATAAGTAACCTTAGGCCCTAGTATCTACTAAAGCGTTTAGGCAAACACTAGATCTATTAAGGCATAGGGTTATACGTGCAAGCAAATAGGAACTAATAAATAATTTAGTTAAGGAAAGGTTTAATAGGTTATATTAAGTTAGGCCTAGGAAGGAGGATCCTCCTAGGCATTGTTGTTTCCTATCTAATAGCTATCTAAATTAGTTAATTTAGCGGTTTCTTCTTCCTTAGAATTCTTAACACCTTATTCTATATCTATAGCCTAAATCCTAGGGGGTTTAGGGCAGTTACTAGAGAAGTGCCTAGGCTTTCTATAATTATAGCAAGTTACTAGGATTCCTATTATAGTAGCGCTAGGAGTAGCTAGCGTAGTAGATAGGGGTTAATTGTTTTAAGGGGTAGTGCCTTATTATTACAAATAGGGTATATAAGGTTTAGCTATTAAAGGTCTATTATAGGGTTTCTAATTAGCGTCTAAATAGGACTAGTTTCTAGAGTATTAGAAGGGAGTTAGTCCTTTTCTAGATAATAGGGTAGTCTAGGTAGGAGTAGATAAGGTAGGGTATAGGCGGCGTTCTATATTAAAAGTAGTAAGATAATCTACTATAGTCTTGAAATTATTATGCTAATTCTGTTAGAAAGCAAGGTTTAGCATCCTTAGGGAAGGTGTAATCTTTATCTAGAGGTAGTAATACTACTCTAATTAGGGTACTTCTCCTCTAATAGCAAGACTCTAGAATTATAACTTAAAGGCAGGGAACGTCTCTATATTAGTTATGTACAGGCAGTTAAATATAGTCTAACTCTTAGCTATCTTATTTCTAGTAATAAAGTAGGTTTAAAGGAGGGTAATTATTTCCTTAGCTTTTTAGAACTAAAGGCTTAGGGAATTAGATAGGTAACATGGCTCTAAGTATTCTCTCGCTAGTCCTAAGCAGTGTCCCTAGACTAACGCTATCTAAGCTCTAGAAGAGGGGTAGTAATTAGTGTTAATCTCTAGCCTATCCTAAATAGATGCTTGCTATTATCTAAAAGTAGGATTAGCACTATTATTAAGTGTAGAGATATTTAGCGTCTTTTTAGATTATCTCTTAGCTTTTATAGTATATACTATAGGGTTTAATATAGAAGCTAAAGACTAGCTAGGTTAGGTAGTACCCTATATCTCCTTATAGAGGGAGGTGTTATATAACTAATTAGTAAGTTGCTTAACTTGTTCCTCTAACCTCTCCTTTTTAGATAGGGTTAACATATATTTATCTTTAAGGGAGGTGTTGCTTTAAGATTTCCTAGGAGCACGAGGTACCTTAAGAGATAGATAGGAAGTAGGTCCTTTAAGGAGGGCGTTGTTAATTAAGTCTTCCTTATCTAATTTCTTTCTATTAGTAAATAGGCTTTTAAAAGTAGCTAAACTAGAGGCCCTTCCTTTGCCCTTATCTAATATTTTGTAGTTAATAAGAACAATAAATCTTTTCTTTTCTTTTAGGGGGTTTGGTTGTAGGAGGATATTAGCTTTGCCTCTAATTCCTCTAGGCTTTTAGTAGTCTCTAGGTCTCTACCTTAACGCAATCTAACGCGATTTTTCTAAAGGTAATCTAGCACTACCTATAGGTCTAGAAGTCTAAGCCTATAGGCTTTAGTTATTAGAAGTTCTAATAGCTATTCTAACTATAGAGTTACAGGGTTAGGTAGCTACTAGAACTAAATTAGTAGCTTAAAATAATAATAAGTGCGATATTCTTAAATACTATTACTAGCTAGGATAATGTTCTTCTTATAATGTAATAACTTAGGTAGGTAGGGCATCTAAAAGGTATCCTATACAACTTAAAGGCATATAGGAGTGCGCGTCTATATAGAAAAGGATAAGATTCCTACACCTATAGGTCTTGTATAAAAGGACAAGAAGAACATGCCTATACTAACTATAGGCGAGCTGTTCTCTATATACATTAGTAAGTTGGGCCTTTATTGGACTAGACTTAGCATAGAATAATAGGCAGGCAATTCTGCCTTATTGTTACATATTATACCTGCTAGAATTAGAATAATTTAAGAACGTGTTCTTAACGTGTTACCTATGTAGCCTGTATAAGCACCTCTTCTCTTGTTAGGTAAGAGCTATCTTTATATTACTAAACTAGTATTATATACCTATACCCTTAGCTATATAATTAAGGGTATGCTAGGAGAATAGCTGCATGCTTAATAATTACTAGTATAAGTAGTAGTCCTTAACTATTACTATAAGTAAGGTATATATTATGCCCCTATAACGTGTTACTAACCTATTCTAAACTTATTCTATTTACTTTTACTTACTTCCTTAATACTACTACTACTATCCTCCTCTAGCACTTTATACAGTTGCCTAAATTTATCTCTAATATTACTATCTAGTTTAGATATATTATCTAGTACTACTATACTAAACTCTAGTATAGTATTTAGGAACGCCTATATATTATTAAGAATAGGTTTAGAACATGTTTAAAAAAGATAGTAATAAAAACTACGTTTACTTGCTTAAATTACCCTAATTTATACTTAACTATAGGCTAGTTTATATAACTATAAAAATTTGCCGCTGTGACGTGGACTTGAACCTACAGGGATATTCTAACCACTCGGAGTAAAGCCCAAGTCGCCCGACGCTAAACCCATGGTCATATGACATGCCACCACAAGAATGCTAGTGTAGACTAGTCCTCGGGCCATCACTACATGAATAAAATACGATGGAATTACAACGGACCTCGGTATCTGAAGAGTATCCCCATACTTCACCAATTGCCCCGGATCATCTGTGCGCATCGTGGAAGAGGCTGAAAATCTGGCGATATCTTGCTCCAGGCAAATATTCAGTAGCTGCAGTACCCATGTGTGGGGGCATGTCTCGTGTGCACCCCCTATCTCGATCCAAAATTCGCGGAATCTGTCTCTACTTTGGGAGCCATCTCCGTGGGGCAGGGCTGTCTCCAGTAGACTTGCATTGGGCGAACAATTGCGTTCAAGGTTCGGCCCTTCCTTTGGGTGGATCGAACCAGTAGTCCTTAGCATGCTGTCCCAACTGAATGGAGAGTCCTCGGCATACTTTACACTTTGACAACTGCTGGTTCATTACGATATTCGGCATCTAACAGATCCAGCCGTATGTACGAAAATGGTGAACAGGATTTGAAGAGAAAATCGCACACTAAATCATAGCGGCTCGTCCGGCTTGCGTGGTTCTGGCAGCCTTGTGTGTTGAGAGGCCAATTCTCATTGGCCAAGTATCGACTGGGTATTTCACACATGCAACTAATCTGTCTCATCTCGCGTGGCCGTTGACAAGCACTACTGCATGGCTGAAGCCCGTAGCGTGGCTTGACAGCTTCAAAGGTAT